AAAAGGTGGGGGGGGGGAATAAAACCCAAGGAAAAACAAGCCATGCAAAAGAAAACAATTGCTCACCACCAACCGATACCCAACTACTCCCTGAGCAACAGCAGCCCCCGCCAACCTTCACCACCCAGCTTTTATTGCTGAGCACAACACCATATGGTATGGAATATCCCTTTGGTCAGCTGTCCCAGCAGTGTCCCCCTCCCAATTTCTCGTGCACCCCCCCAGTCTACTCGCTGGCAGGGCAGTCCAAGGAGCAGAAAAGGCCTTGGTTCTGTGGAAGGACTGCTCAGCAGTAACTAAAACATCAGCATGTTATCAACACTATTTTCAGCACAAATCCAAAACATAGCCCCATACGAGTTACTATTAAGAAATTTAACTCTATCCCAGCCAAAACCAGTACAAAACCTCAAGGTGGTATCAAAACATACAGGAGATGTGCAGAAAGTTTGGAAACATCCATATTGTCAACTGTACCAAACGATACATGTATTTGATTTAAAAAAAATAAATCAAATTCCTATTCTTCAGGCACAGAGTCGTCAATCAGAAGCAATCCAGATCAAGATTAGATCTCCTTTGTTGGCCAGAAACCAGAGTACTGATGGAGGACTACACTTTCTGAAAACACAAAGAGCTAAGCCTGTTTCTGTAGAATTATACCTTACTGGTGACAAAAAAAAAATTAAAGATGCATTTTCCCCTCCCACAGCCATAGTATGGAAATACTATACTTCTAGGAGAGGCAGACATTTAAACTAAATTATAATATGAATGTATAAATGGAAGTAATGTCAACATAAGTCAATTTCAGAGATAATATATTGACTCATCTTGCAACACCTAGCTTTTCCAATGACATTGGAGGCAAAATTAGCACAAAAACACCAAGCTGGTTTCAATATGTTGGTTCCTATTTCACTCTTCTGCTTGGCTTCTGAAAAATGCATTGCTTTTACAAATTTTCAGCATCATATCATCTACCAATTCTTCCATTTAACTATAAATTACTAACCTTGTTTTTCTGTATGAGATGAAAGTCTTTTCCATAAATCAGAAGTGCATGTTCAAAGCTTCTGCATTCTTCTTCTGTCCATGCTATCATCTCTTCTAGACAATTGCAAAAGTAGCATGATAAACTTATTTTCACTCACTAACCTTTTACAGAGAATAAAATATTTGTGTTGCTAATGTATAAATATCCAAACGCACTCTAAAAAAACCCAGTAGTTCAGTTATTTAGACCCATGTTCTTTCCTCTACTGTACAGATATCCTACCTGAAATCTAACATTCTTGTTTATAAAGACTCATAAAAGTCTTATTTCTGAAATCTTTTATCCCGGAAGGCAAAGGACATTCAAAAGATTAGTTTTATTATTTCTTAAGAAGTTTGTAATCAAAAAAACAAGATTTGATAACATCACTGAGATATCAGTGAGATTGTTTTTCTGAATATTTCTTCTTGCATCAGATACAAAGAACAGTGGCTGGTAAAAAAAAAAAAAGAGTGAAGGAACAACCTCTTTTTTTCTTCTTAAGATAAAACTGAATTTTAGTTTTACAAATTAAACAAAACAAACAAAAACATCACTAAAAAAGAAGATTTTTAAAACAAAGTAGCTCAAACTATTTGAGTAGGTCAGTTTTGTCTCAAGTATTATCTTGGGAGACGTGGATTTTTAACTCTCATCTTGAGAATAGCAGTGAACTTCAATGGGTAGAGTAGATCATAGCACAATGGTTACTCTAAAAGACAGGCACTATCAGTATTATCATCCTTTACCGTTTTTTAATGCGGGTATAAAGTCCCATCTGACTGGGGGGGGAATACTAGTCCTTAGGACAGAATTTGGGGCTCTAACCCACAAATCTAAATCCTAGACAGGTGTTGGGTTTAGGATACAAGCCTACAACTGATACTTCCTTATTGTTTAGCTCTACCCAATCTCTTCTTGTATGAGAGCTTTCTGAAGCACTGCTCCGATATACCTTATTGTTCCCTTCAGCTTTACTTTAGATACATAGCTTTCACAGCACCTAACTTGTAAACACTCAGATTCCCTTTGTATCCAGTTCTGAATAGGGAATATCTGCCAGAATACCTACTTATACCAGGGCTCATAGTCCATTTGTGCTTTATGTAACACATATGTCAAAATACAGGACAAAGAACCGTCTTTTCTAAATGATAAACTCTGATTTTTATTTAAGGGAGTAATAAAGTTAGGGACAAACAAGATGGAAGCTCATTTTCCACTGTAAACTCAAGCAAATCTCTCCACACTCTACCAAAGACCTATAGAACTAGATGGTAGAACCAGTTTAGGGTTGACATAGCACAATGTTAGTGCAGTGATGAAGAGAGTGGGGCTCACTTACATACATTCTCCTGATTCTGGTATAAATGTCATCAGATTATAATTGAACGTGATCTCAAAAAGGTACTGTAATGTGGGTGAGAACTGCCTTATGAGAGCAAAATTATGACTCCCCCCATCCTCCTCCTCAGTCTGTGCCGTTCTTAAAATGGCAGTAGAGGAAAGAAGGGAAGAAAAGGTGTAAAAGCTGATCCTGCAACCTTTATACAAATTGCAAACTTCTCTAGCAGAAATTTCCATCTGGCCAACAGTCAAATTATACCTAATCTGTGCTAAAGACATCATGGAAAGGGATGTGCTCATCAATCTGAATCTTACCCAAGGTTTTTCTACACAACTTTCCCACTCCCCCCTCCAAACACATATTTCTTAAAAAGCAGGTACTCACTCTTACCCTGAGATGCCTTTCCATTTGAGCAGTATCTCTCAATTGCTTCTTTAACATTATGGCTACTTTTGAGAAGTTCATATAGCGCCTATAAAATAGAAGTCGTCTTTAGAAAGAGTCAAAGTTTGCAAATATCCAATCTAAAAACTTCTGAAACTAGCCTTTCAGTGAGCATATCTAATGTAAAAAAGATTTATCTTTATACAAGATGAAAATTTTCAATAACAACCAAAAGCAAAACCATCCAAAAGTTGAGGCAAGGTTTCATTAAGCAAATGTAAAGCATTATATGCATTTATTAGAAAAGCTGGATTTGTCAACAGCATGGCAATCAGAAACATCACAGATCACAACACTGCCTACATTCAAATACTCGTAATTTTAAGTACATGCTTAAAATTACAAATGAGATCCTGACCCCAATAACATCTAATTAAAAAAATAAATTAACATTACTGCCTTCATAATACAAGGCAGAGAAAGAGAACACGTGAATTACAAAGCAATGTGTCACAAATGGAACAGGATATAAAACATACTTGTTCATTGTCCCGTGTATGTAGTCCTTCAGGAATTCTGCCAATCATGTTTTCATTTCCTGTTCTTAAGGAGGTTTCAAAAAGGTATTCTTTAACTTTACTTTCTGAGATCACCTCAGGTTTCCAAAGTAAATGGTCTTCATTTTCATAGGCTGTTAAAACAGAAATCCATTAAAGCCAGGTGTGACATTTTTAAGGCTATAACATAAAAAGCTATTTCATAGAGACAAAGAACAGGAATACAGAAGTACTCAAATCAAGCACCATCATGTCACTTTTAAATTGCAGCTCACTTTTTCCCCAAAAGTCTCAGTTAAGAGACAGACTCTGCAGTGTGGTATGGTGAAGAGATTCAGGTTCCATGAGGATGAGATAAGGGATTGAACTCCTGAGAGAGTCTTTACAGAGGAGCAGCTTGTTGACAGCTAGGTAATTCAAGTCAAATTATGCATATGTATTCATCATCTTCATATAAACAAACTAGCAAAACCACTCAGTTTTATTCAGCTGTTTTCAACAAATAAGCTATAGTTTACAGTAAAAGAGTGCAGGATATTACTTTAATATTTCAAATATTACATGTAAAAAAAAAAGGCAGCAGATAAATGGTCATTTTCAACTAAAATTTGCCAAAACTTACTTGACAGTATGGAAATCTAGGTCTCAATGAGGTAATTTCTTTTTCCATTCACTAACAACTGAATGCTGTTAACAACCTGTACGTTCCATATTTTACAAGCAATCAGAATATATAGTCCTCCTTCATAGTATACTGAAATCATGTATGCACCTCAAGTAGCTTATTTGAAAGACAATATATTGGAAATATTCAAGAGTTGGCCTGAACCTTTATCTGTGCGCATATTTAAATTCTAGATTAAAGTATAAATCCTTTACTCTGATCAAAAGATGTGATTAACATTACACATAATGCTTAATGTACTCTCTTGGCAATACAAAATTAAGTTCAAACACAAGAAGTCAAGATGTATAAATAGTAAAAGGACTATCCAGATAAATCTGGTTCTTACTCCTCCATTTCTTAAAACCGGTAAGCATCATGCTTGAATCTTAGAAAACAGGAAACTTCCCTAGGTCTCTTAAGCAACTCAAGAGATGTTCACTTGCTAATGCTTCCAGCTCCATCCATACTAAACATTCTTCTTCTCTACTGCTGTTGAAGGCATGCAAGGAATGAAGCTGGGGGTATTGTTTAGTCTCTGTGAGCAGTTAACAAGGTGCAACCTTGAGGGAAGGAACAAGATAATCCCAAAAGAAACACAGCTACTGAACCTTGAGTGAACTATCCTAATTAACATCTAATTAACATGTAATATGCATAATAGAAACCTGCCCCTGGGCGGGTGTCCTGGTTTCAGCCAGGGTAGAGTTAATTTTCTTCATAGAGGCTAGCGTGAGGCTATGTTTTGGATTTGGGATGGGAAAGTGTTGATGGGGTGCTGATGTTTTGAGTTGTTGCTAAGCAG